TGGTTAAGAAATTACCCAACTTTTTGGAACACCCTGTATGATTTTTAAAAAAAATTCAAAATATGTAAAAAAACTAAATAAATTATGCTTGTCCAAGCGTTTTCCCGAAAGACTAACCGTTTTTTAAATAACAAATATTGTAATATTTGAGGGGCGTTTTCACCCTCTTGGAATTTGATATTCGAGAAACCCCTCCTTATCGAACCTCTACACACCACAGTCAATCCGTTTGCCAAAAATCAGCTTTAAACGTCAAGCAGTTTAAGCAGAATCGTGATTACTCAATGGTCATATTTTATGAAACACCCTGTATAAATTTATAAAAAATCTTAAAATATGTAAAACAACAAAATAAAATATACGTGTTTAAGCGTTTTTTTGGAAACTTGACCGTTTTTTAAATAAAAAATATTGTAATATTTGAGGGGTGGTTTCACCCTCTTAGAACTGGAATTTCGAAAAATCCCTTCTTATCGAACCTCTACACCCTAAAGTCAATCTGTTTTCCAAAAATCAGCTTTTTACGTCAAGCGCTTTAAGCAGGATCGTGATTAATCAATGACCAGATTTTTCGAAACACCCTGTATACATTTTTAAAAAATCTTAAAATATGTAAAAAAACAAAATAAAATATACGTGTTTAAGCGTTTTTTTGGAAACTTAACCGTTTTTTAAATAAAAAATATTGTAATATTTGAGGGGTGATTTCACCCTCTTAGAACTGGAATTTCGAAAAATCCCTTCTTATCGAACCTCTACACCCCAGAATCAACCTGTATGCCAAAATTGAGCTTCTTACGTTGAGTGGTTTAAGCAGGATCGTGATTAATCAGTATGTCAGTCACTTAAGGATTTTATATATTAGTATAGATATATCAAAAAAAAATATTGATTTGCATTTTTTTAATTATTTTTTCTTCAATTTGGGGAAAAATAATTTAATAAACATCAAATCAATTTTTCTATGCTTGTTAAAAACCACTGTGACCTAAATATATACCATGAAACCTAAGTAAAACTATATCATATTACTTTTAATGATATTATCGTGTAACTAATATCCTCTCTTTTACATGTAAATAATATTTTTTTATTATGTTTAGTGAAAAATTTTAAAATGCAACCCACAAATGAGGAATTTTTGCAAGAAACTTACCGAAAAACTAGTAACTTTGAAAAATGGATAAAAAATCATAAAAATAGTACAAGTACATGTGAAAAATTTAGTTTTTATTGGTATCTGAAAAAATTTAAAAAAAATTGGCCACCTGGGGTCGCGTCCGATGGGAGTTTGGAGTTCCCCACACGGATTTTCTCAAAATCGGACTACGGAAACACCGAATATCTCAAAAACTGCCACTTTGACTGATTTTGATGTTATTACAAATTTTGTTGCAAATGTTATTCCTAATCTTAAATTGAAAACCGCGTTTCGCTAGCTACTGTAATTTTGGAGTTACGATTTTTTTAAATTTTTAACCCCCTCCCATATCCCCTTACCAACCCCCCACCCCCACCAAAAACTAATAGCCAGATTCTCGGGTGCCACAGTATTTTTATGCCAATTTTTTTGTTTGTTTTTGAGTTATCGTGTTACAGACGGACAGACAGACAGACAGCATGAAAATATTTTGTATTTAGGTCATTTATGACCCAAATAACTCATTTTGAGTGAAATTAAAAATTTTTTTTTGCCGATATTTGTTGGTTTGGTCGGCTAAAATACTGTTGTAAAAAACGTGAAATTTCTCTTTATTTTTCTGCTACCATAGTCCGTATCCCCAACTACATAGTTCCCAGTCGCAGTTCCATTCATTATTTTAAGTAGTATTATTTAAAAAATTGTAGTACAAAAAAACTCTTCATCTGACAATGACAAACAAACATTGGTATGTCCACAGCACACGCAAGGACATACTTATGTGTATTTGTTTACCGCCAAAGGACATACAGCACATAGAAAGTCTGAGGTATATTCTCCATTTAATTCGAATGAAATAAAATGTAGCAATTTCGCAATTTTTATTTCTTTAGTCGAAAGCTCCAGGGCCGGCTCTAGGGGTGAGGCGGCGAGGCAACCGCCTCAGGCGGCGCACAGTGTAACGAAAACTAAAATAGTGGGACATTGGCATTTTTCTTCAGTTATCACTATTCTTGCTGACATTTTTTGACAAAAATTAAATAATACGACTAGGAATTTTTGCTACAGGGCGAAAAAAGTAAAAAAAGGCGTAATGGAAGGTCAAAAAATTACGAAGTTTTATAAAAGGACTTTACAGGTATATTTTTTTATTTACGAAGAGTTTATAGCTCTTATGGACCACAAACGTTAACTAAAAATAAATTATTAATATTAGTCAAACATTTACAACCCCTAATATTAATCAAAACAGGATCTATTCCACAGAAATAATAGAATCGGCGACAGGGAGAGAAAAAAAAATGATTGTTGTAATTTTTTTTCTGGTTAAGTGATGTCTTATTATGTAAATTAGAGAAAACATAAATCTGTTCCATTAAAGCAAAGAAGGTGATAGGAAGTGGATAAAATGAAAACTACATTTATTTAACTCGGTACTGTCTTTATTATACCGGGTGCGTCCCAAAAGTGGCTCATCCCCATATTTTTTTTTATATTTTTAAATAAAAAAAACAAGATTTAGTATGTTAGTATATGACATAAATTAAGATTGATTGTCAATTTGACAGTCAATTGTTTTTGGTCACTTCCTGTTTCACCGGAAATGACTATAACTTTTAATTTTTATACGGCACCCTCGGTATATTTCTACTTTATTCGATAGAAAATGACACTCTGAATAGAATGGCATATCATATGTCAACTTTTGACATTTTCGCATATTGTTTAATTGTAATTGTAACACGCGCTTCATAACGACAATTTGGCTCGAAATACCAAGTGTGTGGTATCAATATATTCATAAGAAAATGCTTTTTCCAAATATGCTAATGAGTCGCCCTTGTTCCGTTTGAAAAAAATGACATATGTATAATTAAAAATGCGATTTGTACATCTTTTAACCTGCCTAGACAAGACACGAAACCTATTAGACGATCAAAACTATTTTTCCAAGGCTCCTTGATTAAAACTTAGTGTTTTTAACAACACCATGGCACCCTGGATTGACATTTAAAATACGATTTGTTTTTAAGCGACAATGTCAAAAGTTGACATATGATATGTCATTCTATTCAGAATGTCATTTTTTATTGAATAAAGTAGCAATATACCGAGGGTGCCTTTAAAAATCAAAAGATGTAATCATTTCGGTGAAACAGGAAGAGACCAAAAACAATTGAATACGTCAATAAATCCTAATTTATGTCATATACCTACTAACATACAAATCTGTTTTTTTATCTGAAAAAATAAAAAAGTTATAGGGGACGACCCGGTATATTAAAAAATATTGTTTCATAATATAATATCATTTTAAAATTCTTGTACGTTATTTTAGATTCTGAAGATAATTTTAAAATAAACCGTAATATATTTTTAATAAAAACATTATTAATTATTAACAAGGTTATAATTATGATTTTGTTACAAAAACCTTTATATAAATGATTATGTAAGAGAAAAAAATCAGATTTTACATTTTACTAAAATATTATCTAAATAAGCGCCTTTCTACAACAACGCCACTGATTCCCAATGGGTAAATTGAGTTGCCTACCGGTCGAAAGTCGTTTCAAGACTTAAATGGATTATTTAAGTCAAATTTCTTGCAAATTTGGCACTGGCGAACCATATTTTATAGTTCTTGAACAGAAAAAGTAAATAAAATAAACACTTAAGCCCCGTTCTCAGAACTGCGACTGTCGCCAGCGACACGACAAAAGAACCAATCAGATTTGGACAAAATTCAAACAGCTGTCAATTTTAAATTTAGTACAGCTCCCATTGGTCGTTTGAAGTGTCAATCAGTGTCGCTGTCGACACGACGCGGTTCTGAGAACGGGGCTTTAAGGACTACAAGCATAGAAAATGCGTTAATACAACCGAGGAGATAGCGGCAACAAAGCTTTACCGCACACGTGCGACACGTACTACAAGGTAATAAATGAATGAACAGGCGACCTCGCCTCTAATCGGTGTTACCATATTGTAAAGAACTTATCCTTTTCAAATAGTGTCCGACTTATAATTTAGTAGTATAAGGACTATTTAATACATCTATGGAATATTAAAACCTACTATATAAAAATGTAGTATTAATATCTCAATATATGTGTATAATAAGAAAAAAAATATTGATAATATTAAAGACGTGACAACATAGGCTGGATGAGGAAGGCTCGGTCGACTGTACCCAGAAGTAAACATGTGTACAAAAAAGATTGTTTGACTGCGTTGAGATGTAAATAGTGTAGTCTATATTTTATTTTAAGTCTATGTTCCGTGCAGTCTTCTGGTCGCAACGACCAACGGACGGCCAGGACGTTAGTGTGCGCTATCTGATTTGATTTAATGGTTTTAGAGGTAGGTGCGGCCTGGCCGGTGCGACCTGGTCGTCAGTGTGTTTGAGCCCTTTATTAAAATATAAAAACCACGCAGCTTAACACCCTCCACAAAGAAAAGCTAACCAAAGCAACCCAAATGCTCAAAAAAAACTGTATGATTCAACAATTTTTTTGTCTTAATATGCTCTATTTACAGTAATCTTTCTAAGAAAACAAAGAAAAATGTGAAATTCCGAGGTACGTAAAGTTTACTAGAACCTAACTCTGTGTATGTAGTTTGCAATGCCACCTTTGGTTTAAATTCTTAAAAAAAATGGAGTAAGAATTAGTAAGTCTACTCCTCAAATAAAAGTCATAATTATTCAAGAACTGGTTTCACTGGCACATAGAATAATCCGCGTAATATACATATAGATGCGCATCTAAGGATAATATTAACGCAACTATCAGATTTATTTCGATACACCTATCAAATACTTATTTTTAAAAGTAATTAACACAAAAAAACTACTTACCTAAAATTCTATACTAATAAATAAATCAAAAAATAAACTTTTAAAAAAAAATAACGGCCAAGAGAATATAAAAAATACTGAACAAAACAGCCGGTTTACATTTAAACGAAATGGAGGTTATGTTTGTTTATGTTTACCGGAATTGAATTGACCGGTCTCAAGCGAGGCCGCCTCTGTGAATCGCGACTGAATACTGATTGATAAAAGACCGTCACTCCTGCAACGCATCGACGTTTTGACCGCGAAAATCCACGATAATCGCTCGCAGGAACAAGTTTGATTGGCGGTGTGCTACGAGGGAGTCTTAATAGGTATAGTTCTAATGAGTTAATTAGAGATATTCTTTCTGCAAGTCATTATTCGGAATATATATGTTAGTTTATTAGAGTGGAGTCCGTGAGGGGCACAAGGGCAATGAAAAAACTAATACCTGGCATACTAATTTGGTATTATTTGGTAATAAACTGGTATTAGTTGGTAATAAACTGGTTTTATTGGGTATTAAACTGGTATTAAACAGGTATTTTGTTGGACATCTGGCAACGCTGGATTAGACGCACGTGGCGACGGCCGGAAAGCTGATTGCATCATTTATCATTTCTAACTGTGATTTCTAATTTCTAGCCCATTCGCATTGAAAATGAGCCGCCTTCGCGCTTTTTACACGATCAAAAATTTTTGGTGTTGACCTATTTTATATAAAGTATTTTAAAGTTTTTATATTTAGTGTCCAAGGTATAAGTACATAACAATAAAATAATACCTAATAATAAACTTAACAATAAAATATACCTTGTTAGGTATATGGACTATTTGAAAAATAGGTTATTTTATTTTATATTTTTCATATATTTATTGCCAAGCTTGCAATTTTTCAATGTATAAAAATGGTTTTTACACAAAAACGGTACATAACGTCATACAAAAAAATGTCGAGAAATTAAAGAACTCGCATCATGGAAACATAATATGGATCTCGTTAGAATTTTTTATTTTCCTTGTGCATATAATTATATTTTTGAGCTTATAAGTAACAAATAGCGCAAATAACGAAAAATAAATTACTTTTTATGTCTAGTTTTTATTTTATAAATTTTTGAAGTATCGATGTTAATGGAACCGTTAAAATGACTTTTTAAACGTGTCATGACAGTAGCTTTATTCGAGTTCTCAAAAAGTACGGTTCTAGAACGGTTCAAAACACTGGCACAATATGATTTTTTGCAACTTTTGACATGAATGATTGTCGTAATTAGACTGTGCGATTGTTTTAAACCGTTCTAGAACCGTATTTTTTTGGAACTCGAATTAAGCTTATATGTTTTTCTGACCTAATGGTCGTACCCAAGTAGCATTTGGACGTTATCTAACGTCGGGTATACGTCGCGTTCAATAAACCCGACGTCGGGTACCAACGTCGGTTCGACCGCCTGACGACCCTTATTTGCACCTAAATGGGGAATACAGATTCGGGTCGCCTCGACGTCGGTATCTGACCTAATAGGAAATGTAATTCTACCAATTACCAACGTCATATTACGTTGGATTTTAGTTACTTAAAATTCGTCGCTAAGCACTTACGTTACGTTTGGTTTCATATTCGCTACCAAGAATACATAAAAACCTAACCAAACTACCTAATTACAAATTAATTCATAATCACTCCTCGAATATAACTATAAGTGCCTATTTAATTTCATATTATAATAATTCTGAATCATTAATCCAGACATCAGTTTTATCAACGGAAGTCACTTTCTTGATATATCTGATACTCCGGAAAACAACGAGCGCCTTCAAAATTAGGTAGATTTATGAAATAAAAATATCTATAAAAAAGTAACTCGCAAAATATTTTTTTAATTTTCTAGCTGGTTTAATCATAAAACTGTACTGTGGTTCCCCCCAAACTCAACCTTATCAATATTATTCTACTAGAAATCGAAATGTGAATATAAATTTTAAAAACAAAAAACGATTTTAAAATGGCTGACAATCGGATACTTGTTAAGACTGGCGGATTTCTGTGTCCGATTTAATATGAACTACCAATATACCAATTCCGACCGGGTCTTCAACATTAGTCGTCTCACACGACCGAAGTCATCAAACCGGATGACCGGCAATCGTATTATGACGTATATAATTCCAACGTACGCTACGTAACCTCACTTTGCGTTTTGCGTATCAGTGATTTGTGCAACTATATTTTAGTCTTTGTTTTCTCGTTAAAAAAAATGGGCAGCTACTTTTTTAAGCCTAACCTCACATGTCGGAGGAGGATGGGGTCTGCTGGTATCCTAAGCTAAAAAATGAAATTAAGATGCACCAGTGTAATGCAGCATCTCTTCCGGATAATAAGCATTTACGGGTGGAGGCGAGACATCACTACTACCATTATTATTTTGCAAAAGCCTCGACCTCTTTCTGTAAAATGTAGATGAATGTCTAAATGCCTTTTTAGTGTTTTTTAGGCATAATAAAAAAATTAGGTTTGTTTACGAAAACTTTTTATTAGGTTATGTTCATGATGTTCATTAGGTCGCAAATGCTACTTAATGGGTTGAATTTACGGACATAAATAGAGATACGTAAATTAGGTTATAAATATGAACATAAAATACAACAAAATATAATTGGACGTTAGTTTAGGGATTATCAGTGAGACGTATCCTATTCGGACAACGGGTAGACGTCGGGCTAGTTCAAGTATATGTACGTCGTGCAAGCCAACGTGGGAACGACGTTGGGAAATTAATAAAAATGGTACGTTGTTATTTTGTACGTCGACAGATCGTTGGATTTACCGACTCGGATCCAACGACGTCGCTTTTAATAGGAAAGCGACGTCACAGGTCGTATAACGAGCACCCGACCTAAATTTGCACAAAGTCTGACGTCGCTTCAGGTTAGATTTAGTTCGAAGTCAGATAGATGCTACTTGGGTAGTTTGACATGAATAGGCCAAATATCTTAAATTCTTTAGATACTAAAAAGAATAATACTAATTTGGTATTTTTGGTTCTAATTTGGTATTTTTTGGAAATAATTTAAATAAAATTGGTATTTATTGTACATCATTTTTGGCAACGGTTTGCCCCTCGTCTTTCCTATTGCTACTTAAGCTTGATTTTCATGCATCCGTTATCTGACGACATGACGATACGATATTAATATTATTGGCTGAATTTAAAGATTTTGATTGGTTAGAAAATTACGCAGTTTGTAAATTTATTGCATTTTTATGTCTCCGTTCATCAGATGTACGATTTGTTTGTGATTGGTGTCATTTTATATTTTCATTTCCTTAACGATTTCGCTGTTTTACTTAGAGTCTAAGAGCTAGCAACTTTTTTGAGAGAACATTTTAAGAAAGCTTGTTCTTTAATATATATTTTGTTATGCCTATTCTGTCTGGCTGCCGGTAGACGTTGCGTTCACTACTGCGCATCGTATCTATATTCAACATCTATTCACTGCTGCGCATCACAAATTTGCCCTGTATTTCAGGAAATAAGGAACTAGGACCAACATATGTTTAGCATATTTAGTTTCATAAAAAAGCAAAGTAAAGTGAAAATCGCATCATTGTATCTCTACTCATAAAACAGAAATCGTAACTAAAAGTTTAATTGATATCAAATATATTTAATAAGTACTTTGTATTTTTGCTCTCTTCGACACGATTCTAGATCGCCATATCAATTCACTCCTAGACATGTAAACACCGACCAAAGGTGTCGCTTGCCAGGGGGGTATGTCAATGTTCTGATATCCTGGTTCAAATACCAACAGAGATACGCCTACTTAATTTAAAAGTGTACACTTCAATTGAGGATAAAAAGTTGTTATAGTTGAAATATCAACGCTCTTGAATTCGAGAGAATATTTGTATCCGTGTATATCGTTTCCTTCATTTTGATATCTAGATAAATAAAGTCCGGTTGGTTACATCACATATACCTCAAGAACAGGTGCACGGGTTTTAGGGATATCTGATTTGTTGGATTCGAGGGATGGAGAATGTTTGTGAGTGATCTTACAGATCTATCGTGTGTCACTCGTCCTTCACTATAACGCGTTATAACTTATACACCAGGAGACAGCCTTAGTCCCTTCTTAGTCAATATCCCATATAGCACGTCCAAATGAAATTACGTTTCTACAAGGGAGACACATGAGAAACAACATATGTTAAAGTGAACCAGTGTTCATCTAGTTCTAACATATACATATGAGATACACGCATGTTTATATTGATAGAATTGTGTGATGCAGTGTTTACTAGTTGTATACCATATGCACTCAAGATTCTACAAGTTTTTAATTACCTTGTTACACCTTCCTAAGAGTATTATTAATATTATAGCAGCAACTCTTTCCTTACTCAATACCCAATTTACCAAATTTTGACTCCAATGAATGAAAACTCCAAATATTCTCGTATAATGATAAAGAGGTTAGCTGAGTTAGCTCTGCAATATATTTTTTTTTAATTTGGAAATAATGAAAATCTAAATGGACCAGAGAAAGAAAGATTTAAACACCTCAAAGAACTTCTTACACAGATATTCGGTAAGTTATTGATGGATCGATATACAGATATGTTTAATATTCAATAATCAGTTTCATATAAAATTTAAGGGTGAGATTGTTAATCTGGAAATAAAATACAACAAAGTCCAACAGAGTGCTCGATGAATGAGTATGCTAATAAACCAACTGCTTGGAGGGAAAAGAGGAGAAAAAAATGACTAAACGAGGTCCATCAAATTGTGGCGATATACCAGTGTTTACCATTTTAGTATGTTGTTATACTAGGTACTTATATTTTTAATACATTTTGATACAAATTCTGTTCTTTTACAGTGTTTTCTTACTTCTGGTTTCTGCAGTGTAAATAATTATTATTGTTGTGTTATTTGCGCTATTGCGTTCCATGATATAAAGAAATATATGAATTTTATTTTTAACCACTTAATCCATTTTATGGAAGAAAAATGGTACATTTAATACAAAACAAAAATGGAACAATTTAAAGGCTACTTCTCTTGAACTTACGATCGAGATACTTTTGGAAAATACAAAGTTTTGCATTCCTAATTTTCGTTCTAAAAAGATATAATTGGTATCATTGAATAAATATTTCTTAAAAAGAACGAAAAGTTAGGCATCAAAACTTGTATTATTTCCTAAATTCGTTCATAAGAAGTAGTTTTATCTAGCACAAGATGTAT